TACTGGTGCCGGGTTGCTGGCCAGTGGTGAGGTTGCTGCTGGTTGAGCAGCCCCAGACATGGTAAACCTTCCTGGGTTCCTGGCTAGCGGACTAGGAGGTCCTCGGCCTGCACCTGAGAAGAACTCTCCTTCATAGTCAAAGGATCGGTCGGCTCCTCCAAGGAGTGGATGTGTTCCACCGAAGCGGCTAGGTGGTAAGGGTGAAGCCCCCACCGCTGGCTGCACAATAGGGATAACTCTCCTAGTGGATCGGACCGGAAATGCTGCAAAGGGGCTGGTCTTCCGCTGCATTGTCCTGGTAGCTGCTCTGGAAGAGGACCTGGAGACTGAAAGTGGTGCCGGAGTTGCTGGTCTACCCACCACCAACCTTCCCTCATCAAGAGCTCTCTGTATCTCGGCAACAAAGTCTGGTGGAGTGGCCGGATTGGTCCACTCAATCTCCATAGCATCAACATCGGCATTCAGTTCATCTTTTTCTGCATACCTCCGGAGCTCTTCCTGAACAGAGTTGACTTCCGACCTCATGTACTCTAGAGCTTCTGCCATCAGAGCATTCTGTGCTGCCTGGCGCTCTTGTACAATGAGCAGTGCCTGACTGCCTCGGTTCAACTGACTCTGCAGGCTGTGCTGGAGGTAGGTCTGAAGCTCTATGAAGAACTGTTGTAAGGAAACCTCATCGGTATCCTGCCAGACAGGCTCACAGCCGGGAATGTAGGTCTGTAGAGCGGTCCTGGGCTTCTTGACAAGCTGTGTCTGCCCGGTGGCATCAAGCTGGAGGGGCACCGGCTGCCATTCAATCTGAAGGGGTGCATCTGGAGCCGAGAGGGCGGACATTTTTATAGAGGAAGAATAATCTGAAGGTGACTTGAGCCTTAAAGATTATCTGTAGAAATGTCTACCCGAAGGGATAATTACTTCATAGATACCTCGGCCGTAACTGAGGAGGCCGGAGGAGAAGATTCTATGGTGATATCAAGGGCTGCTAGCCCAGATCCCCTACTCCAGGGAGGACCCTCTACACACACTAGGTCGACGAAGAGAAACTCTGCTCAAGCCCAGTTTACGAGGTCCATGCAGGAGTTTTTGGATACCCATGAGGCACACATGAGGTATCTTGGTGCAGCTGGACAGGCCGTTTGGCAGCAGCTACAAAACCTCCAGGAACAAGTGCAGGGGAGTGGGCAGGTTCTGGATAAGAAAGTACGGCAAGAAGCCATCGCCCAGAAGCAACATCTCGAATCGCTCTTTGAGCTCGTCTCCCATTTCCAACAAGAACACGAAGCAGCACGAGCCGCCGACCACGAGGTCCTGGACCGTAACCATCGAATTACCCAGAACCAACTGTTGGAGGCGGAACGGCAGCTGAGACTTGCAAGAGAAGAGCGAGAGCAGGAAAAAAGGGAACAGCGGGAATTGTTGGCACAATTCAAGCAGTCTGATGATGTAAGAAACCAACGAATAGCCGAGATGGAGGAACGCCTACGACAACATATGTCGGTAGCACCCTCCATGGTGAGCATTCCCCTGGACCCTACTGCACCCCAAACGGTTCCTGTTGGTAATGGCAAGAACCCCGAAAATGCTGGCCCAGTAGGAGGAAACGCTGGCCCTGTAGGAGGAAATGGAGGCAGGCAACCAGAGGATGCCGGCCCAGTGCAGGGAAATAGTGGCAAGAAACCGGTGGGAGCTGCCCCCGTCGGCGGGAATGGTGGAAATCAACCTCCCCAGAACCCACCAAGAGGAAACGTTGGGGGAGGTCCAGAACCTTCCGACGACGATGACGACGATAACAGTGAATGGTTGCACGGTCGGAAGAATTGGAGAATGAACCGAGGCGGAAACCGGAATTCGGCGCCACCTGAAGACGACGATATGGTAGATTCGCTCGCTAAAATACCCTTTGAGTTCGATAATGCCAGGAAGCATAACCTGCGGCATTGGCTCATGGAGTGCGAGATCTACTTCGAGCAGAAGCCCAAGAAGTTCCGAACGGACAGGAACAAGGTACTGTTCGCTGGAACGTATACGTGTGGGTTGGCAAAGGAATGGTTCATGGAATACATCGAGACCAAGATGCTAGGACCGGCAGCCGCGGACTACGCTACTTGGACTCGGTTCCGTCAAGAAATTAGGAAACGTTTCTTAAGCACTCAAGAGGCTATGGAGAACGCGATGAAGATGCAGCAGTTTAAGTACTCTGCTAACATCGGAGACTACCTGACGAGAATGGAGATCATGAACCAGCACGCTCAGATGAAAGGAGCATCCTATCGCGCCGCCCTGCTCCAAGGGCTACCAAATGAAATCCGGGAGCGCCACTCACGTTTCGATCCAACCGATGACGACTCCGAGTACATCCAACAGTTGGAACGAGCCGGCAAGGCTCACGAGGCTTATCAAGAGCAGATGAAGATGTTGGGGAAAGCGGAGTCGAGGGGAAGGGAGTCGAATAACGGTGGGAACTCGCGGCAGAAGGAGAAGGGATTTAAGATCAAGGGGAGGGCTCAGACTGAGGAGAAGGAAAAAGGGCAAGATAAGAAGAGCACCAGCAAGAATAAGTCGGGGAACAAGCCAATATACCACGACTACGATGAAGCCACCAAAGGAGTTCCACAGCCGGTCCGAGAACAGCGAAAGACCGACGGAGCCTGTGTGCGATGTGGCCGAAAGGGTCATCTTTGGAAATGGTGTCGTTCAGATGCTAACAGCAGTGCATCTATCTCCTCTTTCTCCCGAAAGCGTACCCGCGATGACGATGGCGACCACGATATGGAACCCCCGGAACCCCAACCTCAGAGAAAGCGAATGAGGCACCGTGCTAAGAAGCCGGCTGCGACGGCTGCTGCGGAGTATACCAGTGGGCAAGCGTTTGTGCGAGAACGCGGATCGGAATCCGAGATGGATTTCGACGAGGATTTTTAAAAGGGGACTCTGATGAGTCAGGTCAGGAGTATCCCCAGATTGCTATGTTATCACTGACGGAAAACCACAAAAAAAATATGAAAAGAAAAAGGCAGGAAGGGAGAGCGTCCCAACCGGAGAAAAAACAGAAAATTTTGGAGGAACCTATTCATGGTCCTCGACCTATCGTTAATCAGTTCCTTTGTTTTGCGGAAAAGTGTTTACCTTGTAAGGTGTTGTTGGATACTGGTGCAACTGGTCCTGTTTTGTCTGATGTTTTTGTTGATAGTTTTGAGGTCCCGAAGGTGAAACGAGACGTCCCGGCCCGGGTATTTGGATTTACAGGAGAAGTTATGAAGGGCACGGGACACGCCTTTACACAACCATTAATTATAATGTCAAGGGGGCATCAAACGCAACTATCATTCGAGATCGCCCCTCTCCCGCCTGGCATCGATGCGATACTACCAAACTGGTGGTTGAAAGAACACAAGCCGGTTATAGGGGCAAATGGGGAAGTTTCCTACGATGGTGAGAACTGTAAGAGTCGATGCTTCACTGACAAGGAACCTCAAATAGAAATGGACGAGGGTGTACTGGACGATCCGGAGGCCCAATTCATTGGTAGCATCTGTCTTTTGGAAGATGAATCGGTCAACCTCCGTGAAACTCTTCCCTCTTGGCTCCATGGGTTCCTTAAAGTCTTCTTACCATCAGAAGCAGACAAGTTACCACCGCATCGATCCTACGACCATGCGATAGATCTCGAACCAGGGAAGCAACCCCCATGGGGACCCGTTTACTCCCTATCCGAAGTCGAGCTGAAGGTGCTTCGGGAGTACCTAGACAAAATGTTGCGATTGGGAAAAATTAGGCCGAGCAAATCCCCAGCAGGAGCCCCAATCCTATTTGTGAAGAAGAAGGACGGTAGTCTGCGACTTTGCGTGGACTACCGTGGACTTAACCGTGTGTCCATTAAGAACAGGTATCCGTTACCGCTTATGGACGAGCTGCGAGATCGAGTGGCAGGCGCGGTTATCTTCTCGAAGATTGACCTGAAGGAAGGTTATAACCTCATCAGGATCAAAGACGGCGACGAGTGGAAGACAGCCTTTCTGTTACGGGCATGCCAAGCATTTACGGGAGTGAGAGAAAGGCTAGTAGATACTCCAATACCCTCTGTACGCTAATATCAACTCTGGACCACACTCGCGGAGTGTGGTGCGACCAAATTACGACCAAAAAACCCAGAGTCATAAAAAACACGTTTTCGACCCCAATAATAACCCCCGGAGCGTCAAACCGCCGGAGGGGAGTGTTTTGGTACCGGTGGATATATGAGGGACAGCTGGAATCAATCGGATCGAAGATCGGACCGCTCGGAGCGAATCGGCGCAAGCTGCCAGCCGACCGAGTACCTATCGGCGGTACCTGTGGGCATGAGAGGACTCTGCTATGTGGGAAAGCGATGTGGGAAGAGGCCTGAGTAGGTAGCCTTGCCGTCCGAGACCTCCGAATAGCCGACGCTGACGATGATCCACCAGACGGCCGATGGAGAAGAAACATCGACAGGGAAACGTGCATTAGAGTGGATAAATAGGTTGAGGGGTTTCAGCGGGTTTAGGAGTTTGGGTTACGGACTTAGGAGTTAAATGTTCTTGGTTGTTTTTCAGGGTCTCGGGCATGCCCCGAGTGTATTCTGTATTATTAGTAGACTGGGTCCTCGAGACATAAGCGAGGGATATAAATACTGTGTCATTCACTGACTAGCCAAACCATCATCGGCGAAATCAGAGTCTTAACAATATAAATCGTTGATACGCGAGTTACAACTTTATTTGACTATACTTTTGGAATTACTTTACTCTATCGTGACTTCGAACTCTACCTGAACTATTACGTCGAAGACGGTCGAACATCCTACGCTAACTCTAGTGAATCTTTGTTGATAACGTAGCTCGCGGGGCCCGTATCGGATCAAGGAGAATCATACCCGACGTTGACTGAAGAGACCTTGGAGACTTCTACCTTTGTAGCTGTTAGCCGAACTCTGAGCTCTGCGTAGTGTACTCTTGTGGTCTGGTACGCATCCCTCACAGATCCGATGGTATGAGGCATATCACAACTCCATTGATCAAACCTCTGCCAACCGTCTTGCTGGAATGCCGATGGTGTTGGATCAAAGATGGAAGCGCTGGGATCCCTTTGTGGACGCTTTTAGAGCAGCCTTCGGGGAAGCCATCTCTAGAGATGATGTTGTAGCCCATTGAAATACCCTCACCCACACAGCTCGAGGAGGAATAGACCTCTTCCTGAATACTATCATTCAGCTGATGTGGAAGACTGGCTATGAGGGTCAGTTGGTGGATGATAAGATTCATAATTCCCTCCTTCCGGACCTAGGCATGAGTTGGGCTCTTTTTAATCCCAAGCCAAAGTCCTTGATGGAGCGGATAGCTGCTCTAAGAGAGTTGGGGCACACCCATGAGAGGTACCAAGGGATGGCAGCTGAGAAAGTGCACCCTCGGACCAAGAAAGATCCTCCCGCTCAGAAGGACCAGCAGCCTAAGAGGAAAAGAGAAGCTGCGAGCTCCTCCGGACCTCAGAAGACTCCCGGACCTAAAGACAAAGCGGTGGAAGTGAAGGGTATCCCGGCGGATATTCTAGAAGAAAGAAGGAAAGCAGAAGTATGCTTGAAGGTATGACCTTCCGGTACTCCCTATTGGTAGAGTGCATAGACTGACTTGTGCAATAGTGCGGCAAGTCCAGACACAAATGGACCGATTGTTGGTCCAAGGAACCTACTGTTGTCCGAGTGGCAGCAGTAAGAGTACAAAAGCGGAAAAGAGGGAATGGCAAGTCCAACTCTCAAAAAAAGGCCAAAGTGGCTGCTGTAGTAGCAGAAGATCCACTTGTTGTACTCCCGGAGGTTACAGAAGATTTTGTTTTTCAGCCTGAGCAAGACTCGGACAATGAAATCATCTGGTAGAAAAGTGTCTGTCTGAGTCTATGTTTACTAGTTTTCTTTTTATATGGGTTTTGGGGTTTCTATGTTTCTCTTGAATAAATTATGATTGTGTTTCCGCCTATTTGATTGCTCCAAGCACTCTGAGGATGGGTTTAAGACCCGAAACAGCTGGTCTGTCAGTGCTCTACCAAAGTTACATTTGTTATCAAGACACTTCCAAACCGCTGCTAAAAGACTACTACACACTATATCTGCTATATTATCGCTTGGGAATAGAACCAAAGGATCTTTGATCTTAGTAGTGCCCGAAGCTATTAGCTATGTTGAAAAGACAAAGAGAAACGAGTTCAGAACCCGCTGTTAAGCAAAGAAGGTTGGAACAGAAGCTTCTCTCCTTACCAGTACATGGAAAAAGACCTATACTGAAGGCAGGACTGTCATGGACGGTCAAAGGAAAGGATGAAGGCGCCCAAGGGTCTTTCCTGTTTGACACCGGTTGTACAGGAGCTGTTACGGGCATGTCAAGCATTTACGGGAGTGAGAGAAAGGCTAGTAGATACCCCAATACCCTCTGTACGCTAATATCAACTCTTGACCACACTCGCGGAGTGTGAGGCGACCAAATTACGACCAAAGAACCCAGAGTCATAAAAAACACGTTTTCGACCCCAATAATAACCCCCGGAGCGTCAAACCGCCGGAGGGGAGTGTTTTGGTACCGGTGGATATATGAGGGACAGCTGGAATCAATCAGATCGAAGATCGGACCGCTCGGAGTGAATCGGCGCAAGCTGCCAGCCGACCGAGTACCTATCGGCGGTACCTGTGGGCATGAGAGGACTCTGCTATGTGGGAAAGCGATGTGGGAAGAGGCCTGAGTAGGTAGCCTTGCCGTCCGAGACCTCCGAATAGCCGACGCTGACGATTATCCACCAGACGGCCGATGGAGAAGAAACATCGACAGGGAAACGCGTATTAGAGTGGATAAATAGGTTGAGGGGTTTCAGCGGCTTTAGGAGTTTGGGTTACGGACTTAGGAGTTAAAATGTTCTTGGTTGTTTTTCAGGGTCTCGGGCATGCCCCGAGTGTATTCTGTATCATTAGTAGACTGGGTCCTCGAGACATAAGCGAGGGATATAAATACTGTGTCATTCACTGACTAGCCAAACCATCATCGGCGAAATCAGAGTCTTAACAATATAAATCGTTGATACGCGAGTTACAACTTTATTGACTATACTTTCTGAAATACTTTACTCTATCGTGACTTCGAACTCTACCTGAACTATTACGTCGAAGACGGTCGAACATCACACGCTAACTCTAGTGAATCTTTGTTGATAACGTAGCTCGCGGGGCCCGTATCGGATCAAAGAGAATTATACTCGACGTTGACTGAAGAGACCTTGGAGACTTCTACCTTTGTAGCTGTTAGCCGAACTCTGAGCTCTGCGTAGTGTACTCTTGTGGTCTGGTACGCATCCCTCACAGTATATTGTTACTCACAAGTTCACTTGGAGTAACGAAGTCACCTTAAAAAAAAAGAGAACTATCATTATTATCCCTTACCATAATGGCATTCCGAAGGGATTATTTCGTAGATACCTCGGCCGTAACAGACGAGGCCGCAGAGGACGCTATGGTACTATCTGAGGCTGTTAGCCCCGATCCCCTACTCCAGGGAGGACCCTCTACACACACTAGGTCAACGAGTAAACGTACTACTCAAGCCCAGTTTACGAGGTCCATGCAGGAGTTTTTGGATACCCATGAGGCACAAATGAGGTATCTTGGTACAGCTGGACAGGCCGTTTGGCAGCAGCTACAAAACCTCCAGGAACAAGTGCAGGGGAGTGGGCAAATTCTGGATAAGAAAGCACGGCAAGAAGCCATCGCCCAGAAGCAACATCTCGAATCGCTCTTTGAGCTCGTCGAAAATGTTCGACAAATGCAAGAAACGGCACGAGCCGCCGACCACGAGATTCTGGACCGTAACCATCGAATAACCCAGGACCAACTGTTGGAGGCGGAACGACAGCTGAGAGTTGCAAGAGAAGAGCGAGAGCAGGAGAAAAGGGAACAGCGGGAACTGTTGGCACAGTTCAAGCAGTCCGATGACGTGAGAAACCAACGAATAGCCGAAATGGAGGAACGTCTACGACAGCATTTGTCGGTAGCACCCTCCATGGCGAGCATTCCCCTGGACCCTACTGCACCCCGAACGGTTCCTGTTGGCAATGGCAAGAAACCCGAAAATGCTGGCCCAGTAGGAGGAAATGCTGGTCCCGTAGGAGGAAATGGAGGCAGGCAACCGGAGGATGCCGGCCCAGTGCATGGCAATAGTGGCAGAGGACCGGTGGGAGCTGCTCCAGTTGGTGGAAATGGTGGGAATCAACCGCCACAAAACCCACCAAGAGGAAACGTTGGGGGAGACCCAGAACCTTCCGACGACGATGACGACGACAACAGTGAATGGTCGCACGGTCGGAAGAATTGGAGAAGAAACCGAGGCGGGAACCGGAATTCGGCGCCGCCAGAAGACGACGATATGGTAGATTCGCTCGCCAAAATACCCTTTGAGTTCGATAATGCCAGGAAGCATAACCTGCGGCATTGGCTCATGGAGTGCGAGATCTACTTCGAGCAGAAACCCAAGAAATTCCGAACGGACAGGAACAAGGTACTGTTCGCCGGAACGTATACGTGTGGGTTGGCAAAGGAATGGTTCATGGAATACATCGAGACCAAGATGCTAGGACCGGCAGCCGCGGACTACGCTACTTGGGCTCGGTTCCGTCAGGAGATTAGGAAACGTTTCTTAAGCACTCAAGAGGCTATGGAGAACGCGATGAAGATGCAGCAGTTTAAGTACTCTGCTAACATCGGAGACTACCTGACGAGAATGGAGATCATGAACCAGCACGCTCAGATGAAAGGAGCATCCTATCGTGCCGCCCTGCTCCAAGGGCTACCAAATGAAATCCGAGAGCGCCACTCACGCTTCGATCCAACCGAGGACGACTCCGAGTACATCCAACAGTTGGAACGAGCCGGTAAGGCTCATGAGGCTTATCAAGAGCAGGTGAAGATGTTGGGGAAAGCGGAGTCGAGAGGAAGGGAGTCGAATAATGGTGGGAACTCGCGGCAGAAGGAGAAGGGGTTTAAGATCAAGGGAAGAGCTCAGATCGAGGAGAAGGAAAAAGGGCAAGATAAGAAGAGCACCAGCAAGAACAAGTCGGGGAATAAGCCAATATACCACGACTACGATGAAGCCACCAAAGGAGTTCCACAGCCGGTCCGAGAACAGCGAAAGACCGATGGAGCCTGTGTGCGATGTGGCCGAAAGGGTCATCTTTGGAAATGGTGTCGTTCAGATGCTAACAGCAGTGCATCTATCTCCTCTTTCTCCCGAAAGCGTACCCGCGATGACGATGGCGACCACGATATGGAACCACCGGAACCCCAACCTCAGAGAAAGCGAATGAGGCACCGTGCTAAGAAGCCGGCTGCGACGGCTGCTGCGGAGTATACCAGTGGGCAAGCGTTTGTGCGAGAACGCGGATCGGAATCTGAGATGGATTTCGATGAGGATTTTTAAAAGGGGACTCTGATGAGTCAGGTCAGGAGTATCCCCAGATTGCTATGTTATCACTGACGGAAAACAATAAAAAAAATATGAAAAGAAAAAGGCAGGAAGGGAGAGCGTCCCAACCGGAGAAAAAACAGAAAATTTTGGAGGAACCTATTCATGGTCCTCGACCTATCGTTAATCAGTTCCTTTGTTTTGCGGAAAAATGTTTACCTTGTAAGGTGTTGTTGGATACTGGTGCAACTGGTCCTGTTTTGTCTGCTGTTTTTGTTGATAGTTTTGAGGTCCCGAAGGTGAAACGAGACGTCCCGGCCCGGGTATTTGGATTTACGGGAGAAATTATGAAGGGCACGGGACATGCCTTTACACAACCATTAATTATAATGTCAAGGGGGCATCAAACACAGTTAGCATTCGAAATCGCCCCTCTCCCACTTGGCATCGATGCAATATTACCGAACTGGTGGTTGAAAGAACATAAGCCGGTTATAGGGTCAAATGGGGAAGTTTCCTACGATGGTGAGAACTGCAAGAGTCGATGCTTCACTGACAAGGAACCTCAAATAGAAATGGACGAGGGTGTACTGGACGATCCGGAGGCCCAATTCATCGGTAGCATTTCTCTTTTGGAAGATGAATCGGTTAACCTCCGCGAAACTCTTCCCTCTTGGCTCCATGGGTTCCTTAAAGTCTTCCTACCGTCGGAAGCCGACAAATTACCACCGCATCGATCCTACGACCATGCGATAGATCTTGAACCAGGCAAACAGCCACCATGGGGACCCGTCTACTCCCTATCCGAAGTCGAGCTGAAGGTGCTTCGGGAGTACCTGGACAAAATGTTGCGATTGGGAAAGATTAGGCCGAGCAAATCTCCGGCAGGGGCCCCAATCCTATTTGTGAAGAAGAAGGACGGTAGTCTACGACTTTGCGTTGACTACCGTGGACTTAACCGCGTGTCCATTAAGAACAGGTATCCGTTACCACTTATGGACGAACTACGAGATCGAGTGGCAGGCGCGGTTATCTTCTCGAAGATTGACCTGAAGGAAGGTTACAACCTCATCAGGATCAAAGACGGCGACGAGTGGAAGACAGCATTCCGTACGCGGTACGGACATTTTGAGTACCTCGTCATGCCTTTTGGGCTGGCAAATGCGCCGGCGACCTTCCAGAACATGATGAATGATGCGCTGAGGGAATTCTTGGATCAAGGGGTAGTAGTATACCTTGATGATATCCTAATATATAGCAAGTCTCGAGAGGAACACAGGGAGCTGGTCGGCAAAGTACTTAGCAGGCTACAAGAATACAACCTGGTCGCCAACCCGAAGAAATCGTTCTTCGAGCTCACCGAAATCGAGTTCCTCGGATACATCCTTGCCCCAGCAGGCGTCACCATGGCACTGGATAAGGTTATGTCTGTTACGAATTGGCAAGCCCCGCGTAGCGTTAAGGAAGTACAGATCTTCATGGGCTTTGCCAACTTCTACAGAAGGTTTATCCACAATTTCTCCGGGGTCTGTAAACCCATTACCGATTGTCTCAGGGGTGATGCTAAGAACTTTGTCTGGTCTATGACGGCCCAAGCAGCCTTCGAAAAACTCAAAACCCTATTTACGTCTGCGCCGATCTTGGTACACTTCTCTCCAGATCGCCAGACTATCGTGGAAACGGACGCAAGCGATTTTGCTATTGCCGCAATTCTATCCCAGGTTATTGACGGAAAGACTCACCCTGTTGCCTTTTATTCTCGAAAGCTTAACCCAGCGGAACTCAACTACGACGTCTGGGATAAGGAGATGTTAGGAATTGTGTCGGCCTTCAAGCAATGGCGTCACTACCTCGAAGGACCTAGCCGAACGGTTCTCGTCTACACAGATCATAAGAACTTGGAATATTTTTCAACAACCAAGGTTCTTAACCGACGACAGGCAAGGTGGGCTGAGTCTTTGGCGGAATTTGATTTTAAGATTATTTACCGCCCGGGAACCAAAAATGGGAAGGCAGATGCACTATCGCGACGGCCGGAGTACCGTCCTGAAGGGGGAGGCACGCTTGGGAAACAGCCGATAGACAGGTTCTTTAAGCCCGGACAGTTGGCGGAGGAAGAGTTTGTGGTATCAGCGGTGTCGCTTGCCTCCAAGGGGGTGATTGACTGGTCTAAGAATTTTCTGGATCATGTCAGGCAGGCGGCATCGGGAGACCCGACATGGGTAGGATTGAAAAAGAGAGTTGAGCAAGGGGAGAAGCTGGGGGAATTGAAGGACATCGCTGAGAAAGACGGGCTACTCTTCTATAAGAACCGACTCTACATCCCGGCAGACGACCGTATCAAGATCCGAATCGCACAGGCAGAACACGACTCGAAAGTGGCAGGACACTTTGGACAAGACAAGACACTGGAACTCATCACGCGTAACTTCTATTGGCCAAAAATGAACGAGTGGATTGATGACTACGTTCGGTCATGTGACGAGTGCCAGCGCAACAAACCCAGCCGCCATAAGAAATACGGTGCGCTTCTACCACTGTCCACGCCACATTCTGTCTGGCAATCGATATCAATGGACTTCGTCGTACAGTTACCGGAATCAAAGGGATACAATCAAATTTGGGTAGTAGTCGATAGGTTCTCGAAGATGTCGCACTTCATTCCCTTAGTAGCAGAAACGACCGCACAGGATTTAGCGAAGATATTCCTCGGTCAAATATGGCGACTCCATGGGCTGCCTCTCGATATAGTTTCCGACAGGGACGCCAAGTTTACTTCGAGTTTTTGGGCATCCCTTATGGAATTGTTGGATGTGAGGATAAGAATGAGTACGGCTTTTCACCCTCAGACCGACGGGCAAACGGAGCGAGTCAACCAAACCCTCGAGCACTATTTACGAGCGTTTTGTAACTACGAGCAAGATGATTGGGCAGAGCTACTCCCGTTGGCGGAGTATGCTTACAACAACTCGGTTACCACCGCCACGGGCCAATCTCCGTTCTATACCAATTACGGTTACAACCCAAGAACCAACTGGCCGACGGAAGCTGAAGTGGTCAACCCAACCAGTGACCTGTATGCTCACTTTATCCGAGGAGTTCATGATTCCGCTCTCGCTCGCTTAACAGACACCAGGGAGAAGATGGGGAAATACTATGATCGGAAAAGGGACGAACCGCCTAACTTCAAGGTAGGAGATATGGTTATGCTCAATGCGACCAACATCAAGACTCGTCGCTCTACCAAGAAACTCGATCATAAGAAACTCGGCCCGTTCAAAATTGTCCGACTAGCCGGTAAACGAGCGTGCGAACTGGAACTGCCACCGCAAGTCAAAATCCATAACGTGTTCCATATCGAACTCTTGGAACGGTATCGACAGAGCAGTATCCCAGGCCGAGAACAGCGTCCCCCAACTCCCGAAGAGGTCGATAAGGAAGGAGAGGTGCTGTATGAAGTGGAAAGTATCGTGGGGAGTCGGAAAAGCAGAAGAGGATTAGTGGAATACCTGGTGAAATGGCGGGGCTATTCGATGAGTGACTGTACGTATCAAGTCATGGACGCTATGGATGAGGAAGTACTTGACCTTGTCCGCGACTTCCATCGAAGGAACCCCAAGGCCGTGAAGGACCAACGCCTGAGACTATAGAGGTACCCTACGGGGCTAAGTCCTTCCCCTCCACAGACACCGCGGGTGATATGTGGAGCAGGTTTACTGGAACCATAGTCTGTCAGAAGATGTCCCGAGACGTGACACCCTGGAAGGGGGGTAAGCTGTTACGGGCATGTCAAGCATTTACGGGAGTGAGAGAAAGGCTAGTAGATACCCCAATACCCTCTGTACGCTAATATCAACTCTTGACCACACTCGCGGAGTGTGAGGCGACCAAATTACGACCAAAGAACCCAGAGTCATAAAAAACACGTTTTCGACCCCAATAATAACCCCCGGAGCGTCAAACCGCCGGAGGGGAGTGTTTTGGTACCGGTGGATATATGAGGGACAGCTGGAATCAATCAGATCGAAGATCGGACCGCTCGGAGTGAATCGGCGCAAGCTGCCAGCCGACCGAGTACCTATCGGCGGTACCTGTGGGCATGAGAGGACTCTGCTATGTGGGAAAGCGATGTGGGAAGAGGCCTGAGTAGGTAGCCTTGCCGTCCGAGACCTCCGAATAGCCGACGCTGACGATTATCCACCAGACGGCCGATGGAGAAGAAACATCGACAGGGAAACGCGTATTAGAGTGGATAAATAGGTTGAGGGGTTTCAGCGGCTTTAGGAGTTTGGGTTACGGACTTAGGAGTTAAAATGTTCTTGGTTGTTTTTCAGGGTCTCGGGCATGCCCCGAGTGTATTCTGTATCATTAGTAGACTGGGTCCTCGAGACATAAGCGAGGGATATAAATACTGTGTCATTCACTGACTAGCCAAACCATCATCGGCGAAATCAGAGTCTTAACAATATAAATCGTTGATACGCGAGTTACAACTTTATTGACTATACTTTCTGAAATACTTTACTCTATCGTGACTTCGAACTCTACCTGAACTATTACGTCGAAGACGGTCGAACATCACACGCTAACTCTAGTGAATCTTTGTTGATAACGTAGCTCGCGGGGCCCGTATCGGATCAAAGAGAATTATACTCGACGTTGACTGAAGAGACCTTGGAGACTTCTACCTTTGTAGCTGTTAGCCGAACTCTGAGCTCTGCGTAGTGTACTCTTGTGGTCTGGTACGCATCCCTCACAGGAGCAATCCTCAACCAGAGTTTTGTCAGGAAACATGGAATTCCCTTAGTGCGGCGGGATCAACCTCTGACAATGTTTGATGCTCAAGGAGATGTCATGATGGGAGGAGGCGAGTATTACACTCACCCGGTCCGCATGATTATGGGAGATCATAAGGAGACACTCCGATGGGAAGTGGCTACTTTGGAAGAAGGAATGACCGGTTACCTGCCAATTAGTTGGGCTAGGAAGCATAACCCGGACATCAACTGGGAACTCAACACCATGAGCTGGAGGAGTGACTACTGCAAGCAGAATTGTCTCCCAGCGGCCACCAAGATTGAATTGATCTCTCCATATCAAATGTTGGAAGAAGAAGAGACAGTCTATCAATTGGTTGGTTCAGTATGGCATGATGAGGACGGAGGTGATATTGCTGAGAAAATACACCACCTATACCGGGAATGGGCTGATGTGTTCAGTCAAGAGAAAATTGAGGAAATGCCACCGCATTCTCATAATGATTTGAAGATCAAACTCTTGCCTGGTACCGCTCCCCCATTTGGCCCGCTGTACCCATGTTCCGCTCCAGAGTTGAAGGCACTCCGGGAGTACCTGGACAAAGAATTGTCTTCAGGAAAAATCTCCAGATCTAATAGCCCCGCTGCGGCGCCCATATTGTTCATTCCTAAGAAAGATGGTACATTGCGGATTTGTGTGGATTACAGAGGATTGAACAAGGTCACTGTCAAGGACAAGTACCCGCTGCCTATCATGAGTGAGCTCAGAGACAGGTTGTTCAAGGCCAAGATCTTCACAAAGATAGACCTGAAGAACGGCTTCAATTTGATCAGGATAGCCGAAGGTGATGAGTGGAAAACCGCTTTCAGAACCCGCTATGGACTGTATCAGTATAATGTGATGCCATTTGGCCTATGCAATGCTCCCTCCGCTTTCCAGGCAATGATCAATGATGTGCTAAAGGAACTACTGGATGAAGGAGTAGTTGTCTATATTGATGACATCCTCATCTACTCGGAGACTGAGAAAGAGCATGAGCTATTGGTCAAGAGGGTACTACAGAAGCTTAGGGAAGCTAAGCTCTGTGCCTCGATCAGTAAGACATCCTTCCATGTCCGAGAAGTAGAATACCTGGGCTATCACACCTCGGAAGAAGGAGTATCTATGTCAGAAGACAAGGTGGAGGCAGTTAAGGAATGGCCAGTCCCTGAGAACATCAAGGCAGTACAGGCATTCCTCGGATTTGCAAACTTCTATCGCCGCTTCATTGATGGCTTCAGTAAGGTTTGCAAACCACTAACTGACCTCTTGCAAAAAGACAAGAAATGGTATTGGACGGCAGCACATGAACAGGCCTTTGAGGAACTCAAGAGGCTGTTCACAAGCGCTCCAATTCTTCTTCATTTTGACCCTAGTAGGAGAACTGTGGTCGAAACAGACGCCAGTGATTTTGCCAAGGGAGCTGTGCTCTCTCAGTATGGGGATGATGGGAAGCTACATCCGGTGGCATTCTATTCCAAGAAGTTCTCCCCTGCTGAGATCAACTATGACATTCATGATAAGGAAATGGGAGCTATTGTAGCCTCTTTCCGGGAATGGGAACACATGCTCAAATCTTGTGAGCAAGAGATCACGGTTTTTACAGACCACAAGAACTTGGAGTATTTTAATTCTACCAAGGTTCTCACTAGGCGGCAAGCTAGATGGTCTGAGGACCTCGCAGGCTACAATTTTAAAGTTGTCTACAGACCGGGAGAAAAGAATGGCAAGATTGATGTGCTATCTAGGCGCTGGGATCACCGCCTTGGAGAGGGAGGTGAAACTCTGCAGCCGGAGCCACAGATCTTTTTTAGGCCAGGTCAATTGGTTTTGGATCCTGCAAAGCTAGCGGCTGTCAGGGTGAATCAATTGCAGAACACATTCTTGGAGCGCCTCTATGCGGCCGCTAAAGAGGATAGTTTCTGGCAGGAACTGCACCGCTCCCTGGTTGAAAGGAAACCAAATTTGGACCAAAACTTGTCAGTTAAGAACGGTCTCATCTTCTATAAGAATAGATGGTATATACCCAAAGACAAGAAGCTTCAGATGGAAATACTGTCCGATACCCATGACTCTAAAGTGGCCAATTTAAGATACTAGAGCGGGTGAAAAACAACTTCTTTTGGCCCAACATGGATAAGGATGTTGAAGAATATGTCCGGAGCTGTGACAGCTGCCAGAGGAACAAGACCTCCAGACATAAGAAGTTTGGTATGCTCCAACCGTTGGAGATACCCTATCGGCCATGGACTTCCATCTCTATGGACTTCATTGTGGGATTACCGGAATCTAGTGGGTTTACAAAGATCTGGGTAATAGTGGACCGTTTTTCGAAGATGGCACACTACATCCCTCTTCCTACCCTCAATAAAACGGAAGATTTGGCTAAGTTGTTCTTGAAGGAAGTTTGGAGACTCCATGGTTTACCTGATGACATAGTCTCGGACAGAGATAGCAGGTTCATCTCTCACTTTTGGCAATCTCTCATGAGTCTCCTCAATGTGAAGCTGAAGATGTCCACATCTTTCCACCCTCAAACGGACGGCCAAACAGAAAGAGTTAACCAGACCCTGGAACATTACTTGCGGAGTTATTGTTCATATCAACAGGATGACTGGGCAGAACTTTTGCCTTTGGCAGAGTATGCATACAACTCGGCGGTCTCTGAGTCTACCAAAGTATCGGCTTTCTATGCCAACTATGGATATGAACCCAGGACCAATTGGCCGGCCCCAAAGGAAGGAGTAGAATGGAACAATCCAGCGAGCGAGGTCATGATATCTCAATGGGAATCTATCTGGCAGGCTATGAACGCCAGCTTGGGTAAAGCTAGATTAAGGATGGCCCGGTGGTATGATACTCATGCCCTGGCACCGCCTGAAATCAAGCCCGGAGATGAGGTTATGTTGGACCGGCGCAATGTGCAAACAAAGCGGCCTTTGGGAAAATTGGATCAGAAGAAGATGGGACCCTTCAAGGTCTTAGAAGCTATTGGTACCCGTGCCTACAAGCTCTCTCTTCCCCCTCAAATGGGAATCCACCCGGTCTTTCATGTCTCTCTTCTGGAACCTTACCGAGCACCGGTAGATCCTGAGAGAAGAGTTCCTGTACCGGAACCCGAAGAGATTGAAGGAGAACAGAACTGGGTTGTCCGAGAGGTAGCTGATAGCCGGGTCAATAAGAAAAGGAGACGAGTGGAATACCTAGTGCTGTGGGGGGGTTATGAAAACGAGGATGCTACATGGGAACCTTGGGAGCATCTCAAGAAGAGTGCTGAAGAAGCCCTTCGGGATTTCCATATGAGGTATCCTAAGAAACCCAAGGACAAGTGGATTGTTGGGGTGTAGATTATTTCCTTTTGGGTTTTCATTTCCTTGCATATCACGGAGTTTCTTGTCATATAGAATGAATGGTAATAGAATGGTTATAGATCTCGGAGACCAAGATCCTGGAAGAGGGGAGTGGTGTAACGGAGCCATTTCAACTGTCTGGTGTATGAGTACACACAGGGCCCGGTTACATGCTGAGAGTTATTGTTAGAAGCCAGTTGCACGGTGATATGCAAGTACCGGCAGTGTGGTTAGCTACCAGCTGTTAGAGTAACTACATTCCGGGCGCTAGGAAGGGGATCTATTCATGGGAGCAATGACTGACGAGTCTATGCCTCGCCAGTGTCTAGAAGACCGGCCAGAGTGAAGCTCTGATTGCCCGGTGATCCACTATATCCTCTGAGCATTGTAAGTCCGCCGAAGGGCAGGGACTATGCTAGGGAAGTCTACAATAAGCGAAAAGCTCTACAGCAATGATTAAGCTTACACCTGAGCGGTAGCTCATTCATGCAGGTCCTCGGTTGTGTGGCAACCAAGGCTGCAGGTGTTATAAAGGCTTTGACTAAGGGTGGTTGCCTTGGGTATCGGAAACACCTGCTGACGCTTAGGGAAAAGCGGGGTAGCGGTGGTATTGTTTTCCGGTACTAAGGAAAGGCCCACCGGAACTTAGTAAGGAGTTAGGAGCAGAGAATAGAGGCCTTCGGAGTATAAGTACTCAGGTTCATTCTCGCCCTTCAGTCCTGTTCTCTCGAGTCTTCATCAGAAAGAAAAACCAAGTTCTTATCGGTAGCAGAGCCCTTAAAGATTATTGAGTTCTAGCGATAGTATCTTTGAATAATCTGCAACCTGATTGTCTATCTTGCACGGCCATCTCTATTCTATCTTATTCTATTCCTCTTAGAAAGGACCCCCGTTACACCACCGGCCGCACCCGTCCAAGAGTCGATAGTTCAAGTACCAGCCACCGCCCCAGTCGGAGCCACACCCGTTCCCGAAGATGACCAACCCATGACAAATAATGCTTAGGCCTCGAACCACCACGCTCGCACACCAACTCAATTGTGCACGGAGCGAACTCATTACCAAGGCGGCGGTAGAAGAAGCGGAAACAGACTCTAGTATTTATTTCCTATTATTACAAGAACCATGGACCTCAGCAGAGGGATACCCACCAGAATCAAATCTCTTTTACATTTTTACAGCCAGCAATACCAATACAAAATGCGCAACATACGTCCGCAAACATGCCAACCTCAAACCAAAACACCACTACACACACGATAATTTCATAGTATCGATTACGGTAGAAATCCAGAACAAGAAAACCCAAATCCTAAACATATACTCCCCAGGCCGAAGTGGCCCCTTCGCTCAAATAGCAAGTACAATCCAAACCCTTGATAATTGTCTAGTAATGGGAGACTTCAACTGCCACCATCAAATGTGGTACGGAGTAAATTCACATGAATACAGAAACAATATTCGAGCAGACCGCGTCAATGGTGCACGACTAAAACGATGGATAACCCGACAGAAACTGTCCCTCCTGAACGAACCAGGCGTCTTTACGCATTTCCCCAGAGACAGAGGGAAAAGGCCCACAACCATCGACCTTACATTTGTAAAAGGCCCAATACTCGATCACAACCTACGATGGAGCATTGAACCCTACGGAGCGGGCTCAGACCATGGGAGAACCTCCGTTCACTTACACCTGGAGAAACCACCTTTTGTACCAAGACGAATGTGGCGACAAACAGATTGGAAGCTATTGGAAAACCACATGTCAAACATTTCCATCCCTGCAGAGGCATGGGAAACCAAGGAACTTACGGAACAGACTGTCGATTTCTTTCTAGAACTGGTCAGGTCAACAGTCAGGATAGTGACACCGCTCTCGAAGGAAGGGGTAAGAGCCAACTCCTGGTGGTCAGATGAAATGAAACGAATGAAGGCAAGGGTAAATGCAGCAGAAAGGAAGGCGAGGAACACAAGGAAACCCAATCACGTGGAGGAACACCGGAAGGCTTGCAGAGAATGGACAGTCATGATCCGGAAAGCAAAAGCGGATCAGCGGGAAAAGACGATGAACGAGGCGAAAGGTAGTGAAGTCTGGAGAATCCTAAACGTAGGAAGAAGAAGAGACACAATCATACCAACCATACAAGGTGAAGAAACATTTGCGGGGAAGTGTCAAGCTCTAAGAGCCCAACTTTTCCCCTCGAAACGGACGTCCCCCGACCACCCCCCCCCTAAACATTAGACCCCCTTCTTTTGACCTTAGCAACACCTTCGACATAGTCACCTCCGAAGAACTTAATAAAGCAATCGACTCCTGTCCAGCGCACTCGGCGACCGGCCCGGATGGCATTCCTTATACCTTTATTAAAGCAATAGTCAAAGCAAACACAACTCTAATCCAAGACATGTTCTCCGCCATGCTCCGGCACGGCGTACACCCAGCGGAATGGAAAATAGCTAAGTGTATCCCGATCCCGAAACCCGGTAAAGCAAACTATCATGAAGCAAAAGCCTACCGGCCCATTTCCCTTCTACAATGCTTCAGCAAAATCCTGGAGAAGATAGTGGCCCAAAGACTTTGCACCGCTGGAGAAATTCTAGGCACACTCTCAGCGAATCAATTTGGAGGAAGACCAACCATCTCGGCAATCGACGCCCTGCTGAGAACCTTAACGCCAATACAACAAAACCTACTACTGAAAAACAGTACCGGAGTCGCTCGGCGAGACAGACCAGCGATCCTAACCAATGATATCCAAGGAGCATTTAACTGCGTTGACCACCTACTCCTCGCGGAAATCATGCAACAACAAAAATTCCCTACCTACTTAACAGAATGGTGCAAGGAATTCAATACCGGCAGAAAACTATAGTTTCAATTCAACCATGAGCTAGAAGAGCCACAGCCCTATGATTCTGGGGTGCCGCAAGGTAGCCCCATATCCCCGGTGCTATTTATGATCTATGCTGGAGTAATCCTGGACCCAACAAGCAGCCCGAAAGAGATGGACACTACTTACATCGATGACGACGCGCTGGTACAAATATCCAAAACACCAGGCTTCACAATCAAGAGAATGGAGGAACGAATGAGAGAGAGACTAATAAAAGCTGAGCCACTCCAAATTAAATACGACCCGGATAAATCCGACCTGATCTTCTTCCGGCCCACCACATCATCCACACAACAACCACGACTTCCGGTCAAAGTTAACAATATCAATATACACCCCAAGGAAAGACTGAAATATGTAGGAGTCTGGATAGATCCGACCCTCTCCTTCCGGCCCCACATCGAATCAGCGATCGCAAAAGGCCTTAAAGCCCTCCACCAGATTCGATACACAGCCCGCTTGCCAGGCATAACGGTCAAAACAATCCATCATATCATAACACAAGGCTTCCTCCCAAGCCTACTCTACGGATCCGAGGCTTGGTGGACTGGTTCAGACCACATTATAAGATCCCTCGAACCACTATATAATGAAGCGGCCCGGATCATCACCGGCCTACCACGATGGACCAAAAGAGCTAAACTCCTCCGAGAAGCAGGCATACCCCCCTTAGAACACCTCCTGACATATCGCTCAAGAAAGTACGGAACCAGAATACTCTGCTCCGAGGCAACCCACCCCAACAATGAATCCCTGATCGAGCTCCTCCCATACAAAGAAGCAAATATCAAAGGAACAGGCCTACACCGAATCGCTTCCCTACTACTCCCATACCAGACCCCCGGAAATGCGAGAGATAAGTGGAACCAAAATAAACTACTACGCGACCACCTGTTGGAAGAATGGAACACACAATCAATACCGAACTACCACCACCGGGGGGAATTCCGCCCCCCTCCCAAGATAGCGAAACTCACCCTTACGGAAGCAAAAAAAGTATTTCGAATCCGGTGCCAAACCACCCGAATCGACAAACACGCAGTATATACAGACCCTGAACCATGCCAGTGTGGCATGGAAAACTCAGCGAAACACATACTCATGGAATGCCCAGCGTGGGCTCGAATCCGCACCCCTCTGATAGAGAAGATCCCCGGAGCGATGACCTGGGAAAACTGGATGTTTACAAACCTGAGAACGGACCTCATCCTACAATTTGCAAAACAATCTCAACTCTCGAAATGGTACGAGTCGGCGGAGGCGGAGGCGGACCTGGAAGAGGGGATGGAAGAGAATGATTAGGGACGGGATTAGGAAGGGCAGTTTCCTTTTACCCTTTAAATTTGTTGTTATGTTCTGTTTTGATAGGTCCAGCGCTTGAGTCCGCTGAGACATGCTATTTCTCCTTGTTGTTGGGTTTTCTGGTCGAGTATTGTTCAGGAAATTCCTCGTTATTGTTCGTGTTCGCTTGTGCTTGTTTTGTTTTTTGTTTTGTTCTTGTTTTGTTCGTGTGCGTTTGCGTTTGTTGATTTCTTTTCTTTCTTTCTTCCTTTTGTTCGGTTCGGTTTGTGTTTTAGGCGGTTGGGTCGGCGTGCGATAAGTCTTGTACTTCAAAGCAATATAAATTTCTTCTTCTTCTTCTTCTTCTGTATTTATTCCACGAATACTATTCTTGTCCGCACTACGTCATAGGGCTCTAATCGGTTTATCATACCAGGTAGAGCCACCTATAGTCCATAGTCAAAGCATACCTTTACGTCTACGTCCACGTCTACGTTACTACCTAGGTTGTATTCCTTGGCACCACAGTCTATCGCCTACGGTCCCCGTGATACCAAACCATCATCGGCGAAATCAGAGTCTTAACAATATAAATCGTTGATACGCGAGTTACAACTTTATTTGACTATACCTTTGAAAATACTTTACTCTATTGTGACTTCGAACTCTACCTGAACTATTACGTCGAAGACGGTCGAATATTATACGCTAACTCTAGTGAATCTTTGTTGATAACGTAGCTCACGGGGCCGTATCGGATCAAGGAGAATCATACTCGACGTTGACTGAAGAGACCTTGGAGACTTCTACCTTTGTAGCTGTTAGCCGAACTCTGAGCTCTGCGTAGTGTACTCTTGTGGTCTGGTACGCATCCCTCACAGACAGCATGTGGCGTGGACAGTGGTAGAAGCGCACCGTATTTCTTGTAGCGGCTGGGTTTGTTGCGTTGGCACTCGTCACATGACCGAACGTAATCATCAATCCATTCGTTCATTTTTGGCCAATAGAAGTTACTCGTGATGAGTTCCAAAGTTTTGTCTTGTCCAAAGTGTCCTGCCACCTTTGAATCGTGTTCTGCCTGTGCGATTCGGATCTTGATGCGGTCGTCTGCCGGAATATAGAGTCGGTTCTTATAGAAGAGTAGCCCGTCTTTCTCAGCGATATCCTTCATTTCCCCCAGTTTCTCTCCCTGCTCAACTCTCTCTTTCAATCCTACCCATGTCGGGTCTCCCGATGCCGCCTGCCTGACATGATCCAGAAAATTCTTAGACCAGTCAATCACCCCCTTGGAGGCAAGCGACACCGCTGATACCACAAACTCTTCCTCCGCCAGCTGTCCGGGCTTAAAGAACCTGTCTATCGGCTGTTTCCCAAGCGTGCCTCCCCCTTCAGGACGGTACTCCGGCCGTCGCGATAGTGCATCTGCCTTCCCATTTTTGGTTCCCGGGCGGTAAATAATCTTAAAGTCAAATTCCGCCAAAGACTCAGCCCACCTTGCCTGTCGTCGGTTAAGAACCTTGGTTGTAGAGAAGTACTCTAAGTTCTTGTGATCCGTATAAACGAGAACCGTTCGGCTAGGTCCTTCGAGGTAGTGATGCCATTGCTTGAAGGCCGACACAATTCCTAGCATCTCCTTATCCCAGACGTCGTAGTTGAGTTCCGCTGGGTTAAGCTTTCGAGAATAAAAGGCAACAGGGTGAGTCTTTCCGTCATTAACCTGGGATAGAATTGCGGCAATAGCAAAATCACTTGCGTCCGTTTCCACGATAGTCTGGCGATCTGGAGAGAAGTGTATCAAGATCGGCGCAGACGTAAACAGGGTTTTGAGTTTTTCGAAGGGTGCTTGGGCCGTCATAGACCAGACAAAGTTCTTAGCATCACCCCTGAGACAATCGGTAATAGGTTTACAGACCCCGGAGAAATTGTGGATAAACCTTCTGTAGAAGTTGGCAAAGCCCATGAAGATTTGTACTTCCTTAACGCTGCGCGGGGCCTGCCAATTCGTAACAGACATGACCTTATCCAGTGCCATGGTGACGCCTGCTGGGGCAAGGATGTATCCGAGGAACTCGATTTCGGTAAGCTCGAAGAACGATTTCTTCGGGTTGACGACCAGTTTGTATTCTTGTAGCCTGCTAAGTACTTTGCCGACCAGCTTCCTGTGTTTTTCTCGAGACTTGCTATATATTAGGATATTATCAAGGTATACTACTACACCTTGGTCCAGGAATTCCCTCAGCGCATCATTCATCATGTTCTGGAAGGTCGCCGGCGCATTTGCCAGCCCAAAAGGCATGACGAGGTACTCAAAATGCCCATACCGCGTACGGAATGCTGTCTTCCACTCATCGCCATCTTTGATCCTAATGAGGTTGTACCCTTCCTTCAGGTCAATCTTCGAGAAGATAACCGCGCCTGCCACTCGATCTCGCAGTTCGTCCATAAGTGGTAACGGATACCTGTTCTTAATGGATACACGGTTAAGTCCACGGTAGTCAACGCAAAGTCGCAGACTACCGTCCTTCTTCTTCACAAATAGGATTGGGGCTTCTGCCGGGGATTTGCTAGGCCTAATCTTTCCCAATCGCAACATTTTGTCCAGGTACTCCCGAAGCACCTTCAGCTCGACTTCGGATAAGGAGTAAACGGGTCCCCATGGTGGTTGCTTTCCTGGTTCGAGGTCTATCGCATGGTCGTAAGGTCGATGCGGTGGTAATTTGTCTGCTTCCGATGGTAGAAAGACTTTAAGGAACCCATGGAGCCAAGAGGGAAGAGTTTCACGGAGGTTAACCGATTCATCTTCCAGTAAGCAGATGCTACCGATGAATTGGGCCTCCGGATCGTCCAGTACACCCTCGTCCATTTCTATTTGAGGTTCCTTGTCAGTGAAGCATCGACCCTTGCAGTTCTCACCATCGTAGGTAACTTCCCCATTTGCCCCTATAACTGGCTTGTGTTCATTCAACCACCAGTTCGGTAATATTGCATCGATGCCAAGTGGGAGAGGGGCGATCTCGAATGACAACTGTGTTTGATGCCCCCTTGACATTATAATTAATGGTTGTGTAAAGGCGTGTCCCGTGCCCTTCATAACTTCTCCCGTAAATCCAAATACCCGGGCCGGGACGTCTCGTTTCACCTTCGGGACCTCAAAACTATCAACAAAAACAGCAGACAAAACAGGACCAGTTGCACCAGTATCCAACAACACCTTACACGGTATACATTTTTCTGCAAAACAAATGAACTGATTAACGATAGGTCGAGGACCGTGAATAGGTTCCTCCAAAATTTTCTGTTTTTTCTCCGGTTGGGACTCTCTCCCTTCCTGCCTTTTTCTTTTCATATTTTTTTTGTTGTTTTCCGTCAGTGATAACATAGCAATTTGGGGATACTCCTGACCTGACTCATCAGAGTCCCCTTCTAAAAATCCATATCGAAATCCATCTCAGATTCCGATCCGCGTTCTCGCACAAACGCTTGCCCACTGGTATGCTCCGCAGCAGCCGTAGCAGCCGGCTTTCTAGCACGGTGCCTCATACGCTTTCTTTGAGGTTGGGGTTCCGGTGGTTCCATATCGTGGTCGCCATCGTCATCGCGGGTACGCTTTCGGGAGAAAGAGGAGATAGAGGCACTGCTGTTAGCATCTGAACGACACCATTTCCAAAGATGACCCTTTCGGCCACATCGCACACAGA